TATAAAATTATATTATCGAGATTGTCTGATAACAAAAAGAAATGCCCCTGAAGTAGTAAGAAGTGAACAAAAACAGGACACGAAAGTATAGTTATCTCTGCTTTTGTATGTACATGCACACACATACACAAAGCAAGAGAAAAGACTAGAAAAAAGTGTGCATGCTAACACTAGTTTTCTCTAGGTGGGGAATTTATTGATGATTTTATTTTTCATTGCCTTTGTGATTTTTTTCTACATTTTTTACAATGATTAACTTTTTAACAGAGAGGGGAAAGTCATTTCTAGGATGAAATCTAAAGCAGGAAAATGTGCTGAGCACACACCACTTTGATTTTGTTAGTGGGTGACTGAGGGAGACCCAGGAACCCCAAAGGATTCACCCACCCATGTGCTAAAAGGCAAGAAAACATGCTCCTAGAGTGTGTGTGTGTGTGTGTGTGTGTGTGTGTGTGTGTGTGTGTGTGTGTGTTGGGAGGGGACGCTGGAGGGGAGTAAGAGAAGAATGGATTTCAAGTGATAGTTTCCCATAAATTAATTACCTATCCCTTAATGGGCAAATGTCCAACCAAACAGACTCGGCCCACAGCGGGGCCGTTGAGGCCTGGAAGCATGATGCAGTCTAAGTTACCTTCTGGTAGGGAACCACACGAAGAGGGTGAGGCAGGTCCCGGAGAGCTGGGACGGAAGAGACTCAAACTTTAGAACATCGCACATCAGGACAACAGCTGCCGCCGTCCCTACCCCGAGCGGACCCCCGAGCAGCCTCCCCGTGCCGCTCTGCGACTGGGTCATCCGAGGGTCTCCGCGTGTCTCTTCTCATGGCGCCGCCCGTGTGTCTCTCCCCACCCTTCACTCCACTTCATTTATATGCCCGCCTCGATCCTGCCCAGCCGCCCCATCCAGGAAATCCAGCTCATGGCACCTTGGGGCATGAGATCCAAGGTGCCTGTGTGTGTGAGGGTGGGGAAATGGCTTCCCTTGTGCTCTGCCTGCTTCCAGAGTGTGACAGTTTGTGGGTGTGGATTGGCATCTATGTTGTCCCCACCTCAGCAGTAGGGTGGAAACTACCCAGGGCCACTGCAGTGGGGACTATGTCCTGACGCCCCTGAATTGAAGCCTTTTCTCTCGCTCTGTGAGAGACAGCTGTCATCATGGGACGCTTGTCAGGTCTTGTCGTCGCTCTCTAATTCAACTCAATGCCCTGAATTGGGAAGCTCTCTGCAGTCGCAGTCACCAAAGAGTGGTGACGGCAGGAGCCGCTGTCCTGGGCTAGGCAAGCTTGCTGACCATGGAGCGCTCAGCAGGCCTGGTCCAGGGGCTTTTTCCTGTGTCTCTGATCACACAGAAGTGGAGCTATTGAGAGAAGGGAAAGGAAGAGAAGAGAAGCTTTGCTTGGTGCTCCCTGTTTTAATGAGGCCTCCTTCCGTGCTACTGGCAGGCTAGGAAACAGAAATAGTGACATTTGAGATGAATCGTGGCTTAGAAACTGGCTAATTATGGGAACATGATGGCCTTAGGCATGGGGCACGGAAGAAGAGGAAGATGAACTTGGTCTCCAAATCCAACGCAGGAGCAACTTTCAGCGCCCTCAGCTTTCTGTCTTCTCTCCAGATCTCTGTCTGCCCAGGTCGAACGGTGGGTGTCAGGCTGAGCTTTCTTAAGTAGGCAAATGCCCTCCACAGCCACTCCATAGAGCTCTGATGAGTCCTGAGATTCTTTCACCGTGGCTTGGTTAGTATATTCCTTGTGTGCCATGATTATTTTTTTTTTTTTAAATAAAGGCACTGATATATATATATAGTCTGTTAATCTGTTCTGAAATTTCTTGTTTATTGTAATAATTCGCATAATCATTCCCTCCTTCTGAGTCTCTCCCTTTCCCCTTTCCCCTTTCTTCTTCCTTCTATTCTCAGTGCTGCATAGAAGTGATGTGCAAGCATTGATTGTGATCTCTGAGTTAAGCGGTCTGGCAGTCGGGATTCCTCCCTCCCCTTGGCTCAACCCGCACGGACCTTCCTGAGCTGCAGTGTGAGCAGACAGCACCCCAGCAGGGGAAGCAGTGAAGGAGGAAGCAGGAAGCTGACCCAGAGAAAAGAGCACAAATTTGTAGTCATGACAATGGACCCATCTAGACTCTTCCTCCAGGCAGAAGCTCTGCCTAATGCCCTTCCCTGGGACGGTTCTGATTCCAAAGGAGTCTGCTGGTGGCTTAGATTACAGATTTTCTCACAAAGCCCCCTGCTTTGCATGGTCACTAATGAGCACATACCTTAATTGCTTATAAAGTTTTGTTATAAAACTTTTGTTAAGTGAATGACGCGTGAATGACATGGGCTGGTGAATCTGAATGATGAACTTGGCACCATGGTGCGATTGCTGCCCCTCAGGACTGAACTCCCAGTCCAGGGGGCCGTTGATGTCCTCTTGTCCCCAGTTCCCACACACCTCATACTCCCTGTCACCCTTCATGCTTCTTCCTGCGTTGTTGATGGTGACTGACCAGTCCATCTTACCGTGAGCTCTCAGATTAGCTGCAGGCTGTTCTCTATCCAGCAAAGCATGTATGACTCCTTATTTAGAGCTAACCTACACATGAGGGAGAGTGGCAGGCTCCAGGCACGAGGAAGACGCCAGATTTCCTAAGTCCTGTCACGTGGCAGGTTTGTCCTGTGGCTTCCTGGAGAGCCCTGGACAAGTGGGGAGGAGTCAGGGGGCTGCCCAGGCCCTGGGAAGTGCCCCTCCCACTGTGAAATTCCTTGTAAGCACTCCTGGGGGACACTCTCCCACTCCCCTTGCTCACCTCCCTGTGAGCTTGAAGTGGGCAGAGCTCGCAGTCTTCCTGTGCCTCCCCCTGCCCAACGGTCACGGCCCCGTGGAGCCCATCACCCCGTGCCTCCCCGTCATTCACTTCTTTCCTCCCTCAGCTCTTGTCCCCTCTACTTTGTCCCAGCCTCTGCTGCTGGCAGGTTTCATTCTTCATTCATGGAAGCAAGTTTTATCCAGTGCAAACCAGTTAACATCTGCTGAGTCTGCTCTGCACCGGCCCACAGAGGGGCCTGCATGGGTTCTCCTCCAGCCCCTTCCTCACAGGAGGGAAGCAACTCACCTGAAGACACAATTAAATTTAGTGCCTGCCAAATGCAGTTACAGGTACTACACTGGACAACCAGGAAGAAGTAACTAATTCTGACCAGGAAGGCCCCTGGCTCCTTCCTTCCCAGCAGAGGTCGCCTTTGAGTGGAGCCTGGAAGGCAGAGTCGAGTTTTGACACGAGAGACTTTTTTAAGATTTATTTATTTGTGCATACAGAACTGGGGTACAGGCCAGAGGTGCAGGGGGTGAGAGGAGTCACCAGAGACAGAGTGGGAAGCAGAACAGGCAGATAGAGGGGAACAGCGGGCGGGTCAGGAGAGGTCTGCCGCACCATGGGTCACCGCCGGGGTGGGGATCGAACTCACACTAAAGTGGCTGCCGCCAGCTTGCAGTGCTGCGTCCTAACCCGCTGCGCCACCAGGGAGGGCCCCAGTGGGAGACTTTGATAGTGCTTCAGGGAGACGTTTGAGTGAAACATGGGGGAAGGCAGAGGAGGAGAATAGGGTGGGAGAACCTTCAGGCCACCCTGAGGAATTTGGACTTGATTTGTAAACAGTCTTTTATATGACGAGACCCTTCTTCCTTCACAGCTCTGAATATATGTTTATGTTGTGAAAAGTTAGCACATTTCTTCCTAAGCTAATACACTTTCCATATGTGTTGCGTTTCAATTAACAGTTTACTTTAAAAAGTGTTTTAAAAATGAAGGCGAGAGGACTACATGTACTTGAAGTTAGCTAAGGTCATGCTCATCCAGGTTGCACTTCTACCCCTGCCCCGAAGGTGGCAGCATTGTGCCACTTGAAAAACTGCCGAACAGCGCAGGATTCCATTTCTTCCCTAACCCCTTCTGCTGATTTGGGTCGTCCTACTCTTCTTAATCTTTGGAATCCAGGTTTTTCCTCCCTCCTGCCACCCTCAAGACATTTTTTAAAAGAGTTTTCGAGGGTGAACTTTGGCTCCAAATTGTGCACACCAAGCATGCACAGAAGAGCCACCTGGGAGCGGGTGCTGGGTGACCCAGCCTTTCCTGGTGGAAGTCTAGCTCATTGGCATTGTGCTCCTGGATGGATTTGTAGCTGGTCTCTTCCCTCCCCTCCCCAATAAAAAGTAGCCTCACGAACTTCTTTTGCCTTCAACTGTTGTATTGTTTAGGTAATGAGGTTAGAATCCAGGTGCAGTGGAGGGCAAAGGTGGCCTTGTGAATCGCTCATTCACCCATGTTGGGACCTGGAAGAGCCTGTCCTCTGCCGAGCTCAGGGCTAAGCGCGGGCATGGAAGGAGGTCTAAGCTGGTCCGTGCACATGCGTACAGGGCGGGCCGTAGGCGTGGGTCCACGCTGCAGTCACAAAGCAGCCAGGTCGCCTCAGAACAGCCTGTGTGGGGTGCTGTGGGGCATGAGGGAGGGCCAGGAGCTTGTGTGAGGGACTGTGTGACCGACACCCAGAGAAGGGGGTGCTTCAGCTTACCCGTGAGCAGAGTCCGGGTTTCTCAGGACTCCGGGCAGAGCTGGGCATTCCTGCCAGCAGACACCTAGGCAGCACAGCGCATTCCAGGAGCACCCACGTAGCCGGTGTATGTAACTGCCGGAGCAGCCACCAGGCAGGCAGAGAGGGGCCATGGGAGAGAAACTACACCCTCGGTCTGCTGGGTGCAGGTTTCTGGGCTTGCTGTGGAGCATGCAGACCTGTGTGGGCTGAGGCACGAGCTCCCCTGTGGCATCTGTGCCAGTGAGCCTGCAAAACGGAGAACACGGACTCCTCCTTCGAAGGCCTTTTGTGCTATGATGCTATATAAGTTCACAGGGTTTCTTATTCATTTTTCATGCCTTGCTATGTAAAAAGTCACATGTTGAGGGACTCTCGATGGGATATAAACTGTATTATCCTGCTATCTCTTCTCAGGGAGCCTTTTCACAAGCTGCTGGCCCAGGGCCTTATCAAGGGGCAGACATTCCGCCTACCGTCTGGACAGTATCTGCGGCGAGAGGAAGTCGACCTCACAGGTGAGGATGGCCTCTGTGGTCCTACAGGCCTGGCGTCAGCCGGTCAGCAGATGGACCCAGCCACAAGGCCTGGCTGGGTGGGGTCCAGGAGAGGCCCTGTGGTCCCACAGCCTCAGCTTGCTCAGCCCTCTGCAGCGGGGCAGGGGCTGGTTGTGGCGCTGCCCTCCGCGGCCAGTGTAAGCCCCGTCTGGCTTCCAGCAGGGTTTTCCCCTGTGTGGCAGAGCATTCCCTGTCTTAGCCCACGTTTGACAGCCCCTCTCAGGGACAGAGCGCCATGCCCAAGAGACCTTCCCAGGATTGGGGTACCCCCAGCATTTCTTCCCTTGTAGCTCACTTGAGAGCCTTGTCCCAGAACACCGGCGCACCCAGCCAGCACTCCCCCGACGTCCCTGCCCACCCGCCCGGCTCTCCCAGGCCTCTCCACTCCACTCCACGTTTCCACTCTCCCTCAGAGACTGCCTCCTGTAGGGTCTCTAGGTGGCAGATGAAACAGGGGCGTGCAGAAAGGGGGAGGGGTATGCTGAGAGGCAGCTTTGAGGCACCCCAGCACACCAGCCAGAAAGCTTAGGAAAACCAGTGCTAGTGGTTTGGGTAACCCAACAGTCTCTTAAATGGTACGTCCAAGAGAGACGCTCAGGTGGAAGCGGCCGATGGGGTGTCCTGACCAAAAGCAGTGGTAGAGCAGGGCTTGGAACTGACGCCGTGGCCTGTGGAGGAAAACCCTTTGGGGAAGCAGGAACTAGAAGTGCTTCTCCACTGCAGAACCGGAGCAGGGAGCCCCATCCAGGGGCAGGGAGCCCCATCCAGGGCCAGGCAGCCCCATCCAGGGGCAGGGAGCCCCATCCAGGGCCAGGCAGCCCCATCCAGGGCCAGGCAGCCCCATCCAGGGGCAGAGAGCCACAGCCACGGGGAGCCACATCCAGGGGCGCTTGCATTCCCTCTCAGCTCTCTGAGCGACGAAGGCTGCGCCGACAGCGGTGCAGCTTGCATACTGCACAGGGACCAGCTCGGGGTAAGCTGGGCCTCAAATCAGCCCCTTGCCCACCGGGGGCCACATCTGCCGAAGAGGCCACTGTTTTCTTACCTCTCACTTCTGCTCCAAAATTGGCCTTTTTCCTCATCTGCACAACAGCACTGTGAAGACTAGGCAGAGCCAGAAGGGGTGCGTGGGGTAGAGGCACCCCTCGAGCCTCACCAGCAGGAGCAAGGATGAAACTCCAGAACTGCTATCTCCCTGCCAGAAAGGCGGCTCAGCGCAGGGACAGGGCTGTCACCCATGCAGAGCCCGGGTCCCTGAAGTCACCGGCCGCTCCTCCCTCCTCTCTCTCTCAAGCCTCTCGCTTCTCTCTGTTCTCCTTCCAGGCCTCGATTCTGCCCTCCGCTAATTTCAGCCCACAGAGTGACCTTGGATAAGTGTCAGGTCTTGCCCCGTCTCCTTGGGGCCTTACTGGTTGCTGTGCCCAGCAACATCCAAGCAGAGTTTCCATCTCTTGGTAGTAGGTCCTGAGAGAGGCTCAGCCTGCCCCAGGGGTGGCCATTTAGACACCAGCAGTGTGGGGGTGAGGAGGAGACCTCTCCAAAGAAAGGTGCGGTGGGCTGGCCCCGCAAACGGACACCCCGTCTTCTGTGAGCCCCATGAGTAACTCCACTGCCAGATCATGGTGACCATGACCTGGAGGGGGCGAGCGGGCCTCCAGCTAAGGCGGCCTCTCGTGCTCTGAGCCCCTGACCGGGCAGAGGCCAGCTTCCATTGGAGACCCAGAGTCCACAAAGAAAACAGCCAGCTGTGCAAAGCTTTCTGATCCTTCTTTACTCCCTTTTTAGTATTTAAGTAATTTGCTTGTGTAACAAGGGAAATTTCTTTGTCTTCTTTTGTCGTTGAGACAAAACTAGAGCAGGTCTAGTACTCCAGCTGCACTACATGCTCCAAAGGAGAAGGCTTGTGGTGTAGCTTCGTTTATTCAGAAAGCCATGTATTTTTATTGTGCAATATAGGAAAGAGAAAGAGGCACGCTAAGTGCCCTGGTGGGAATCTCTGCATTAATCTTTCAATTAGTGGACAGTCTTTAAATGTTGAATTGCTCACCCAGTACAGGCTCGCCGCGTTTTAATTGTACTGAACTTTATGGTCTGTCACGGATATTGCTGGGGTATTTTGTTTTGCAAACTGAAGATTTTGGGCAACAAAAGATTATGACACACTGAAGGCTTAAATTTGGGTAGTGTTTTTTTTTTTAAGCTTTTATTTATTTGTGCATACAGAACTGGGGTACAGGCCAGAGGTGCAGGGGCGGTGAGAGGATTCACCAGAGACAGAGTGGGGAACAGAACAGGCAGACTGATGAAATATGCTGCTGAGGGGAGCAGCGAGCGAGCAAGACAGGAGAGATCTGTGGCGCCATGTGGGTCACCTCCCCAACCAGGAATCGAACCTGCACTGAAGCGGTTGCAGCTTGCTTGCGGTGCTGCGTTTTAACCCGCTTTGCCACCAGGGAGGGCCCTGGTTAGCATTTTTAATTAGGATATGTACATTGTTTTTCAAGACATACTGTTATTACACACTTAACAGATGACAGAGCAGTGTAAACATGACTTTTAAATGCGCCGGGAGACCAAAGAAGCCCCAGGACTCGCTTTACTGTGCGACTCGCTTTAGTGCAGTGGTCCGGAGGATTTCCCAGGCGGGACTGTTTTCCTATTGAGTATATTTTTATAGGATCAAACCAGAACCACACACACACAGCCACACTCACGGCACAATACTGACGTGCAGTTTGGTGTCTAGGTTCTGTTCCTGTTCATGCAAAAACCAAAGAGAAGCTAGAGGTGACATGGGAGAAGATGAGCAAGTCCAGACACAACGGGGTGGACCCCGAGGAAGTGGTGGAGCAGTACGGCATCGACACCCTCCGGCTCTACCTCCTTTTCGCTGCCCCTCCAGAGAAGGATGTCTTGTGGGATGTGAAAAGTAAGCCCCTTCCTCTTCCTGGCCTGCCTGCCGAGTGATTCACATCGGCCAGGATTCCGGGACGGAAATGTCATTGCTGAAGACGGTAGGGGAGAATCCTAGGAGTCAGTTCCACGAAGCAAGTGGCAGTTTGTCCAGCTTCCTATAGCCTGAGGCCGGTGTTCTCAGATGTAAGGGAGCCTCGGAATCCTGAGGGGCTAGTTGCAATTACAAGTCTGAGTCCCTGCTCCAGAGCAGGGCCCAGAAGCCCGCCTTTAACAAGCCTGTGGTGTTCGGATGAGGTGCTGGAAGGACTCTACTTTGAGAACTGTGTCCTCGAAGGGAGATTGGCTGCCAAGCGCCTCTCAGGCCCACTGTGACCTGCCCAGGCCAGTCGCCTCCTGATTTGCCCTAAAAGGAATTTGTCTAAAACATGTCATTGTCCCTTACCGATGCAGAAAACCCAGTCAAGTTCTGTGGCCTCTTTGGTCACACACAACAGCCTCCATCCCTCCGGGGGCTATTTATCTTTCCAAAGTTGGGTATAAAATGCCCTGATGGAAACTGATCTTGGGTGTCTGGATCTCCTAGAGTAAACCCTCCAACACACAGAAAAGACCTGCACTGGCCCTAATTTGGCCAGTCGTGTGACCCAGGGCCCCAGGGTGAGCCATTCAGCTTCTCCAGGAGATTCGATTAGCAGCTCCACTGGATAAACAAACGTGTCTGAAACACGTAACACGCGCCTGGCGGAAACGGCTTAAGCATGTCCTGCTGGGTAGCACTTCAGCTTCCAGGCAGCCTGCAAACGCCTGGGCCTGGTTCCCCTTTTGTGTGCCGTGTGCTGGGCCAAGCCCGCTGTTGGTTTCTCGAACCTTTGGTTGCAGCACGTTTTCTTAACCTGGGAAGCCGCGCACTGACACCCCTCCCGGCCTGGCCTGGGCCAGTGACAGCTGGTGGGCAGCACTTGGAGTAACTGAGCCTACATGATCTGGGGCACCAAGATACGGCAGAATCAGACTCGGTCTGGGTGCGCGAAGCCAGACACCACCCTTGGGGGCATAGCGAAGGGTGTCGTCAGTGGACAGGTGCTCTTCTTAGCTTAGTCATGGTGGCCCATCACCCATGGCTTCACTTTCTAAGGTTTCGGTTACTCGCAGTCAGTCTCATCTGAAAATACGAGAGTACGGTAAGATATTTCACAGAGATCATATAACTTTGACTACAGTCTGTCGTTGGAGCTGTTCTGTTTTATTGTTAGTGATCAGTTCACTTCTTGCTGTGCCTAATTCTTAGGTTAGGCTTTTCACAGGGATGGGTGGGGAACAGTGTGGACGGTGTGGCACTATCTGTGGTTTTAGTCATCCGCTGGGGCTCTCGGGACGTGACCCCTGGGGCGGAGGGGGTTGCTTCAGAACCAAATCAAGCATCCTCATGGTGATCCCTTTCCCATTTCCTGCCACTAAACTTAGCTGACGCTCTCCCTGGGGTGCTGAGATGGCAGCAGCGCCTGTGGGCCTTAACAACCCGATTTATTGAGGCCAGGACTTCCGGGAAGACACCCAGGCCTCAGTTGCTGAGTAAGCAGGAGAAAGCCGAGGCCAGGAAGCTCCAGGAGTATAAGAACTCGGTCATCAATCAGGTCAGAAACTTCCAGGGAACACCAGTTGTCTCTGTATCGGAGCCCGCGTGGTCTGGGGGGGCCTCTGTGGGTCTTCTTCCTTCCCTTACTCTGAGCACCCCTTTACTGTGATGAGTCGATCTGACTGTTTCGGATACTCACCTAGTGCAGAGACACTGGCAGGAAATGGCTCCCTCTGCCGATGGCTCACACGTGTCCAGCCTGAGCTCAGGCAGCTGCCCGCGTTCCGTGTTTCTGTTCTGAGCACACCCAGCAGAGAACCAAATTCAGCATCACACTAATGATATACTACTTACGTTATGTGAACAGAGACTGCGTTTTAGGGTGAAAGAAGCTTGGAAAGATTCTCTTCTTTCACCTCCTTATTTTACAAATGGAACAGAGATAAGGCAGAGAGTATGCCTGCCTTCTGGAAAGTCACACAGCTAGTGTGTCCTGAGCAGACTAGACTCCAGGTTCCCCGGATGTACAGCATGGCGGGGACCTTCCCACTCAGTGACACTATATAGTTGTCTAAGTCATCCTAAAAGATTCTTCTTGGACAATAAAATCCTTCAAATCTTCTATCTGGAAGTCTGCTATAAACCATGACATTCCCCCTTTTTAGGAACTATGTGGAGAAAAAAAAAAGCCTTATGTCTTTGAAAGAAGGCATTTAGGAAATCCAGAGCCATATTTTAAATGAATACCAGATACCCAAGTGCTCCTTGGGCTGTTTTTGTTTTTTTTTTTAAGATGTGCTGATTCAAACTTACAAAGTCAGCCAAGGTCACTTGGCGAGATTCTGATAACTGGCAGCTTTGAAGGAAGAGGGTTGTTCCTCCCCAGCTTATATAAACTGAAAGCACCCTGGGTCCAGCCTGGTCTCATTTGGCGACACTTCTTCAGTTTTATTTCCGTCTCATGTGGATGAACCACTCCCCGAATTGAATGCACCAACCTGAGTGCACCCGAGTGATCGTTTTCCTGCCTTGTCTTTCTTCCCTGTGTTTGGCAGATTCTTCTGTTCTGTCAGATAATAGAACTGGGCTGTTGCAACAAGTTGAAAACTCTTGACAGCTAAAGATGTGCTATTTTTCTCTATTCTTGCCCATGTTCAAAATCAAGCACACGAGCAAGAAAGAAGCTGACAGCTCGTATTGGTGTCTTTGAGTTGACTCCATATTTCAAAATGTACAAGGAACCGTATCCCGCATCCAGCTAGCATTCCTTGTGAGGTCAAGTCATATACCAAGGAGAAGTCACATCCTTTACCCCACATCCTGTTTACTAATGTTGAAGCTTGCTGCTCCTGCCTCCCATTCAGGTAGTCAGCAAAGCCTTCCTCTGCAGCGACGGCGAGAAACAGCCGTGTCCCCGACAGGGCGGAAGGAGCTGCCTTGAACAGTAGAGAAACTTTGCCATGTTGGTGCTGCTCAAATATTATAGTCATTTGAGCTAGTGAATATATTTAAAGTATCTTCGATCACATTCAGTTTTACATGTTTCTGATAGTGGATATCTTTTTTTATTAGAAAAGTTTATTTTTACATCATTTTGTACATTTTTTTTTCCACCTCAATTGTAATCCCCGCGGGTTTCCCATCACCAAGTCAACTGTGTGCCATCAGTATAATCCTGTGCATTTCCCTCCTCTCCCCCCCGTTTTTGAGCCCATTCCCCACTCCACCCCCGCAAAATGTCTCTGGTATATGGTTGTTCATTATTTTTGTTATTTTCTCGCCTGGTCCATTATACTCCTGCTATGAGTGATGCCATCTGGTATTTTTCTTTCTCTTTCTGGCTTATCTCACTAAGCATGATCTTTTCCAGCTCCATCCAAGTTGCTGCAAAAGACATGTGTTTCTCTTTTTTTGATTGCTGAGTAATATTCCATTGTATATATGTACCACATCTTTCTAATCCAGTCATCTACTTTTGGGCATGTGGGCTGCTTCCATGTTTTTCCAATTGTCAATAAAGCAGCAATAAACATGGGGGTGCAGGTATCTTTTTCAATCAGTGTTTTTGTGTCTTTTAGGTAGATACCTAGGAGTGGGATTGCTGGGTCATAGGGAAGCTCCATGTTTAGCAGATAGTGGATATCTTAAAGGAATTTTTGTAGAAATCTTAAAGCTGGTTGGTAACTCAACTTTTATCAATAGGTGACTGCCCATTTCACAGAGGATTTCTCGTTGAATTCTGTGATTTCTCAGCTGATGGGACTCAGCAGTGCCCTCTCGGTAAGTGGCCTCTCTGTCCTTACAGACAGGGTGAGTGGGGGCGGGGGTGCGGGGCAGGGGGTTTGAGCCATATGGTCAGGTAGCCTGCAGGACCCCAGGTATGGGACAGAGAACAGAGGCTTTTTTATCTTAAAGAAGCCTTCATTCCATAAGTCACAACCTTAATTTATAGCGGGGAGGGTCAATTTTTAAAAACAACTCCAATTTAACATCAACCTGGCTTCTACCCCAGGCTGCCACTTGGCTAACTGCCCTCCATGGTGAGGCAGCGGTGAGAACTCCCCGAGTTAGCATCAGAGGGAGGGCATAGTACATGCTCAGTTAGTTAGCAGAATTGTTGCCACAGTTGCAGCTGTTTTGATTCTAAAGTTAGACGGAGCATGTGCTTCGGCCAGAGGCTCCTACGACTGTACCCCTGGACTTTTAATGCCTTCACAGCCTTTCTGATCCTTACCTGACAGTGGTGTTCTTTTCTCTTCCTCAGCAAGCCTCTCAGAGAGTGGTTCTCCACAGTGCCGAGTTTGAGGATGCCTTGTGTGCCCTGATGGTGATGGCAGCTCCGATGGCCCCTCACATAACCTCGGAGCTCTGGGCAGGTAGGCGGGGAAGCCTTCCTTCACCAGAGGCCACTAACCGGCATGTTCTCAGGTCCCTGGGGAACATTCAGGTCCTTATCTACTGGTGTCCGGCATTTGCCATCCACCTCTTTCTTTTACTCTGAGGGGCTGTATGTTTCTTTATTGTGGTCACCGTTGCCAAGGGGAAAGACATTTCCCCACTTTGTACCAGTGTGCCCCAACCAATCTGTATCTTGCTGTCACCACAGAACACTCTTTCTCATAACTCAGCCTCCTAGTATGCACACATCATCACCCCTTGTGTCTTCCTGAGATGGAAATTCACATTTGACAGGTGGAGAGGAGAGCACCTGGAATTAAATTGAAGACCTGGAGTCACTCGTTTAGACTGTAATTCAATCCTCTTACCAAATGGTTTTTCCTAAAGTAGCCACTGGAGCAGATCTGACAGCCTAAGGCTCGTGTGCTAAGTGGACACTGCCCCCCCCACCCCCACCCCGCTCCCTTGGGGCTCTGGGCAGTAACTGGAGAATCTGTGTGTGTAACCAGCTCCTGGTGATCTGATGTACAAGCCTTTGAGGGACTGTGACAACTACGAGACCAGGCTGTCAGATGAAAGCCCAGGCAAGGCTGCCCGTGCCTTCCTCCAGGGCAGCCTCGCGAATGTTCCACGGGGCCCATCAGTAATTTCAAAAGGCACCCCTGGAAATAGCTACATTCTCTTCTTTTAAGACATCACTTGAACTTTATTTACATTAGACTGTCTTCTCTGTTCATCCCCAACCCCCATCTTTTCCATTTCTATTTTGTATTTCAATATGGAGCTACATGTTAGAAGAAAAAAATAGAGTTGGTTTGTCATTGAAGCACTTTGCCCAAGTTATTCTCAGTCCTCTTCGTAAAGCCAGTGCAGTATGGGCAATCCAGGTGTTTTTCGCTGCATCACTGCTGAGTTCTAGGTCCCGGCAGGTGCAGGCCAGTCGCTTTCCTGTGTCTTTAGCAGTGGCTGTGATGTAGAAATGGAAATGAAGTGAGAAGGTGCTAGGCCAGAGGACTTGGCCTGGCTGAGCTGGCCCAGTGCTCCAAACCTGACTTCACAAGGCTCCCGTCACTCCTGTGGACGATTCATACGCGCTGGCAAGACAAGGGCAGCCTGGGACGCTGCATTTACGCATGCGTTTATCTGGGCCGGCTGCACAGCAGCCTCCCTAATACCTTGCCCGAAGACCGAGATGTGGTCGGGAGAGGTCGGGTCACGGCCTGCGTGCTCTTGGCCACTGACTCCACACATCTAGTCCCTAGGCAGAAGCTCACAGTTCCAGTCTTTCATCTAATATCAGATGAAAAGACAAGCAACTGCAAGAAGGAAGTGAGGAGACAGTTATTTGTGCTGCCAAGTTAGTCCACTCACAATGAGGAGAAAGCCCTCGTTGGGTGTGTGATCCTTTGATGAGTTCTTTGAGCCCTCTGAGAGCTGACCTATGTCTTTTGCCTCTCTCAGCCCCACAGGCCTCACACAGAGCCTGGCATTCAGCAGACCCCAGACACACAATGAGAAGCACCCTCTTTTCAATTGTGATTCAGTCTGGTTACCTGATTGAGTCCTTAAAGCCCAGAAACCTTATTACCCTGATGGACTAAAAAACTTCCTAATGGGACCTTTCTTTTCAATGATTACTTCAAAAATGATACATGTTAATTATAGAAAATATAACAGGAATTGCAAGCCCCCTCTTTACACAGTCTTGCACAGTAGGCTTTAAAGGGTGCTGAACAGATTTAGGTAAGAGTTTAGGAAGGTCCATTTCTGCCTCTGTGGCAAAATCTTAGCTCCTAAGATTCTCTGCACATCAGTGGAATCATGGCCCAGACAATCAGGGATCTCACATACATTTCTTTAATTGGTCTTGGGTCAAGCATTAGGGATATGCAAATTGGCACCTAATTGGTCTCCCAAGGAACCAGGAAACTTAAGGGGGAGTCTTCAGTCAATTCCAAAAATAGCCCATCTGATATGCTTCTGACTTGGCAGTTGTATTTACATAAAAGATCTCTCTTAATTAAATACCCTGATGCCGTGTCGCAGAGAAGAAATGCGTGTTGATCAGTCAGGGAACCAAGAGTCACAGAGTAAGGTTGGGGAATGAGAAGAATTTGAAAATTTTTCAAATTCCTGCCACTTGAATGCTTTTCTGGATATGGGAGATAGGTGGGAATTGCGGGTTTTTAGATGACAAAGTAGCCCCCTTATATAAGAAAGATTTGCTTATGCCTTTTGATTCTAAAAACTGTTCTCCTGTTTGATTTAAGGGACCACTAGAAATCAGACATAACAGTCTCATCCGAGTTGCTTCATAAGTTTTCAGGAGAAGCCAACATTTGTCCCTTTCCTTTGTAGCTTTTTTTCCCATGACCTCTTCCATAGTATCTGTCTAAAGAAATGTGTTTTCCATCCCTTGAAGAAGCAGAAAATCTGTTTACTGCTGCTCCTTCTTTTCTCTTTTTTTTTGGGGGGGGGCATGTAAAACTATACACTTAGTTTGGATTTTATACTCTTTGGATTTTACACTCTTAAAGCCTTGTCAAGATATTCAGCCAAGTGCTGAAGTTCATGCAGTGAAAGATTAGCCAGTCAGCTTTTTGTTTATAACCCATATCTGCATTTCTGACTGTAAACATCCATCCAAAAAAAAAAAAAAAGAAGGGAAGGGAAATGGCTTAGGACATGGCCACATCAGAGCTTTGCCTTCCCACTGTCTGAGCCTGCTAATTCGTGGATTCGTTCTTTGCTGCTTGAGAGATTGAATCAAGGTCTGATTCACTTTAACAAGAATGACAGGATCCTGCTTTAAGGTATTCTCATTGAGTAAAGTGTACTTCATTATGTTGTAGGTCATTTTTGATGTCTTTCCAATGAGGCTTTTCGAACCAAACTTCCCTGTTAGGTTTGATGGTGGCTGTAGGCTTTGATGGTTGCTTCACGCTCAGGAAGCAACCTCTATCCTTGTTTACCAAAACTCACATCAGGAACAGCAGATCTGTTTGACTCAGCCTCCATTGTTCAGTCATCGGGATTTTCTTTCATTTCCTTTGAATGTTCTCCTTAGTCCTATTGATAGGATGTGTGCCCAGTTACCTGACTGCCTAATAGTAAGCTATGCTGGGATAAGTCTATCTTGACCATGGCACAGTAGACTTAATGTACTGTTATATTCTATTTGTTAATGTTTTCTTTAGAAGTTCACAGTTGTTTTCCTAACAGAAAAAGATCCTGATTTTTTCTTGGTACGTGTTGTCAGGTTGGGAATGAGGCTTTCACCGACTTCACTGTGGGAGTTGAGTTGGGTTGCTTCTGTCTTTTGCCATGCTTTCGCATAAACTAAGATCCATGACATTCAGCCACTCTTTGCTGACTAGATAGAAGGCCCTAGTAGAAGAGCAGTGGTAGCCCTGCCAGGCTTTATTATATTATGTGACATTATATTGGATTATGTTATATTGGGTTATGCAGCCTTTTATTGTCAGGAAACATGGCTCTTTCATTTAACATTGGTGATCACATTAAGTTTTTCATTAGCACACTGTTAATTCTCTCCTAGTCTCTGTTCTACAACAAAGCTGATCTAATTTGTCATAAACATACTCATTCTTACTTGAGAATAAACACATATCTCCCCTTCATCTTCCTTCTTTATTGGTCTACCTTCTTCATTTCATTTCTCCCAGGAAGGACTCCTTTAAATGGGGTTTTCAGAAACCCCCTCCTTGCATGCCCCTCCAATCTTTTTGTCAAGTGAAGGGGCTGGGGTAGTTGGGGACAGGGCCCTGGCCCTGCCCAGCTGATCTGTAGTACAGGTGTACTTCACAGTGGCCTCACCTGTCTGTCCTCATGTGGCATGATCTCCAAGGAGACATGTCCGAAAGCCAGCTTGTAGAAAGGGACTATTCCTTGGGATTTTTGTGAGCTGTGCTCCCATAAGGAGTGAGTCCAGATTGGATCTTTAGTTGTGCTTCTGTTTCCTTTAATCATTCAGTAAGCATTTCTCGAGCATGTATGACGTGCCAGGATCTGTCCTGAGCATTTGTGGGGAAGCTGGAGAGCACAGTCTGAGCAGAGGACATTGTAGGCTGTGTCCATTTCAGTCGGTCAGGGCTTCCCTCAAGTTTTACAAACCCATAGAGACAAATATTTCTTTAATTCAAAGAAGCAACGGTAAGCCTCTGCTCCTGGCCCCTACATGTGTGTGTGGCATCCCTGTGGGTGAGCCGCTGGGACTGTGGCACAGTCAAGAGAAGGGTCTGGACACCAGTGTATTACCCTGGCCACCAACCCTCTGGTATTGGCCAGGTGCCCTCGGGAGAAAATGGAGACATGGCCCCTTTCTGCCTCTCCCAGCGGCTGGTAAGGGCTGAAGTCACTGGTTCAAAAGTCTTTTGCAAACTAGACAGCTGTGTTGTGAGGGCTTTGTTGTTAATCACCACCGCCACCACCCCACCCCACCCCACCACTGTCAGTCATTTTCATTCTGAGACTTTGGGTAGGTTTTTTTTTTCTCTGTATTTTTTTAAAGTAATATAATAGTTTAGTCTTACATCATTTTGTGCCTTTTTCCATCTCAGTTCTAATCCCCATGGGCTTCCCACCACCAATTCACCCATGTGCCATCACCATAGTCTAGTGCACTTCCCCTCGCTTCCCATTTTTGATCCCACTCTCCACTCCACCCCTGTAAAGTGTCTGTGGTATGTAGTTGTTCATTATTATTATTATTTTCTCCCCTGGTCCTTTATACTCCTGCTATGAGTGAAACCTGGATAGTTTTTAATGTTTCATTTATCCTAGAAAACTTGGCTTTCATGTAGCTTCTTCTCCTTCAGCTTTGAAAAATGACCTTAGAATGATTGAAAAGGCAATACAGCCAGGGTGGATAACCTGAAGTTACCATTTCCCAGAGTTCATGGGTTTTCATTGGCAAGATTCTCACCACAGAGCAGCGAGGTGGAGCTCTGTCTTCTAGGGGAGATTTACAGTCCTGTGGGCAAAGTGGCCATCACTGCACTGGATGGAACGTTGCAGAAAAGCCCGGGACGCTTGGCACCTATTCGTCCTCTGCTGATCCTTTTATTGTAAATGAAACTCTTCAGAGAAAAACAGAATCAGTGTCTTTTCCGTTTGCAAACTTCCACAGGATGAGGTTATTTGTTCCCCATTTCTGAGGCTTTGGGCCTTTGAAACTCAAGACATCTGCATTCATCAAAGTTGCCTTTTATTTACCCAACTAGAATATTGTCCAGTCCAAATGAGGGTGTTAGCTGCTTGCTTAGGGGAATTTTACATATTTGTACTCACAGGTACTGTTTCCAAATGAAGGACACAGGTTTCCTTTATTGATAGGCAATAAAAGAACAGAAAATCACCAGACAAGGAGATCTTTGGTGTACTAGTTGAAGGGATCATTTCATCATCGGCAAAAATGGCCTTTCCGGCCCTCCCGGGTGGCGCAGGTTAAAGCACAACACTAAGAAGTTAAAGCCACTTCCGCATGAGTTCAATCCCCTCCTACCCCGGAAGTGATCCACATGGGGCAGCAGACCTCTCCTGACCCGCCCGCTGCTCCCCTCAGCAGTGTACTTCATCAGTCTGCCTGTCCTGCTCCCCACTGTCTCCGGTGAATCCTCTCACCGCCCCTGCATCTCTGACCTGTACCCCAGTTCTGTATGCATAAATAAATAAATCTTAAAAAAAAAAATGGCCTTTCCAACAGGCAGCAAGCTGGCTGGATCTTGGGGGCATGAATCAAAAAAGCCAATCTCAGAAGTTTATATACTCTGATTCCCTCCGTATAACATGCTTGAAGTAACAAAATTATAGAGAAGGAAAACACATTAGGGCTTGCCAGGGGTGAGGGGTTGGCAGAGGGGGCAGTGGCCATAAAAGGCCACACCAGGAGGCCTTGTGGGGACAAGGCAGCTCAGTGTTAGGGTTATATGAGGCTGCACACGCTCGCACACATTAGCGCTGATGAAACGGACGAAAGACGCTCTGTGGACTGTATCGATGCCAATTGCCTGGTTTGACATTGTGCCATATGTTTTCTGAATGTTCCCACTAGAAGAAGCTGAGAAGGGGCACTAGGGCTCCTGCACATTTCTTTGCACCGTCCTATGAAACTATAATTATTTCAAAATGAAGCTTGTTTTAAATTGCCTCTGAACTCAAGAAATTCTGCTTGGTATTTGAGTTCTGTAGTATAGCAGACCATGAGAGAGGAAGGGAGGGGAGGAGGAATTTATTTCTCGTTGTAGAAGGCCTTATTAGACACAAATACTAACATCTGTGTAAGTGATTTTTCTCTTACTGGATTTGAGACTATTTCTATCTCAACATTTAGAGACCGACCCCATTTTTTTTTTAAGATTTATTTATTGATGCATACAGAAGTGAGGTACAAGCCAGAGGTGTGAGTGATGACAGGATTCATCAGAGTCAGAGTGGGGAGAGAGCAGGCAGTTTGAGAAGTACACGCTGAGGGGAGCAGCAGGCAGTCAGGAGAGTCTGCCGCGCCATATGGGTCAGCCCCGGGGCGGGGATCGAACTCGCACTGAACCAGTTGTTGCTAGCTTGCAGTGCTATGTCCTAATCTGCTGCACCACCAGGAAGGACCCCTACCCCATTTTTTTTAAACAGTTGTAAGGTGGCCCAGCCTATGAGTGATCCTGGCGGACATTTGGGTGATTGCCCTTCTTTTGCTATTTGTGCTTTGAAATAACTCTTCTCCAAAATACAAGCTGTTTAGTGCATGGTGGTAAGATCTCCATTCTATATCGCTGACATTTTTACAGTTATAAACTGAGTTTCCTGTTTATTTTTGCCTCGGGCTTCTGATTCATGTGATCTCTCAGTCTTCCATCTTCCATAGACCCCATTGTGAGGGTCTCAGCAAGGCGACCCTTCACCACCTCGTGGGATCCCAAAGGAACGCATCACCTTAACTGTCAATCTATCCCGACCAAACCAGTTTTCTTCATAAAATGAAAGTTGCTGTAAACATTGCAGTTGTATACAGCATTTTGTCGAACATATATGCAGTATTCATTCATTTCAACAAATTTACAAACAGACAAGCCCTGTAGGGGTATGTGTGTATGTGTGTGAGAGAGAGATACTTGTAGGGAGAATCAGTTGCCTACTGTTCTCCTGTGGGTATTTTATACAACACTGTGGGTGCTGTGTCAATGTTGTTACTTCAGAATACCCTCAGTGGAGCCGTTTCTGTGGCTAAAGGCTAAAGTGAAGTTGACGTCCCTTGTTTATTTTCTTGGAACTAGCAGGGCTGGTGAGGCATAGTGAGGTCAGACATGAGTGCCTGAGCCCTCCCTGCATGGGTAGGAGGGAGGGGAGGGATATGTGGAGGTTGGCAGCCTGCACATAACGCCAGGCGTGGCCTGCCATGCACAGATACCGCACCCACCCCCACTGCCAGGGTGTCATGACACCCCCACCAGCCCTCAGAGTGGGAGAGGTTGGCTTTGCTTATTTTGCAGGAAGGTGAGTGGCCACAGTTCTCCCGGGGAGGAAGAGCACAGGAGGGCAGTAGGCGACAGCCAGCCCCACACGATGGCCTCGAGTGCCAGGCCTGGCCATTTCCCATCCTGTGTTCAGAATTTTACTGTCTCCCAAAAGTCAGCTCTTGACCAGACCCGTGTGACATAAAGCAACCATTGTATTTGTATTTGCCATGCAACGGTTTTTCACTTCCCTAAAAAGAACAGGGATAACGAAAAATTTACGTAGAACCGGGGTCGTGGTTTTCTGTTCCTCCTCACTGAACAGGATGCCCCGATCCCATCTATATGGAAACACTGGTGGGGCCCAGGCCGCTATAAATAAGCACACTGATTGCTCCAGGAAGGCTGGGCTTCCTCATTTTTTCAAGTGGAATTTATAACAGCTTCTGCCCAGAACATTTACGTCCAACGTCCTTTCATCTCCCAGGCATCCTGTCCAACTGCCATGCAGAGGCTCCGGAACTCTTCCCACTGCAGCTGGGTCACAGGACAGGCCTTCCTGAGCCAGCCTGCTGAAATAAAGGAAGGACGATCGCCCTTCCATGACCTCCGTCTTGTATTTAGATATGAGTCTTCATAGAATTCCTTGTGAGGGACAAGCAGGAAGCCACTCTCTGCTTCTGCCAGAAGGCACATCTGTTAGAAATGGAGTGGGTTCATGAGTAAGCACAGGGACTTCAGGGCCAGGGCCAGTGGACCTCAGGAGTACATCTTCCACACAGCTTGATTCTCAGGCTCTCAGGGGCCTCTGCTTCCCTCCAAGAGTGCCAGGTAGGGAAACATGTAAAGCTATGCACATACGCTTGTGTTCCAGCAGGAGAGTGAAGACAGCTGAGCAGACCATGCCCCTAAGCACATGTGTGAGTTAGGCAGATAACCTTTTGGTGGCAAGACTTACTTTTTCAGTGAGGGCCAAGCTGGTGGTACCAGGACTGTCTTTCTGCTGTGTGTGCTTCCTGTACCTTTGGGGACCTCTCAAGAGGCTTTAATCCAAAATTTTCCCTGGCTGTGGCCCCAAAGCACTGACAGCTGGCCGGCCTCGTGCAACTCTCTGGGTGCGGGGTGGGAGTGTGCTGGACTTGGGCACCTCTGCTTGGGGACTGTAGCACAAAGCATTCTGGGAAAGAAGACTTGAGAGGCTTCACTTCTCCTTTCTACCTCATGTCTGACCTGTCCTGAGGCCATGAGTAATCAGCCAGAGCCCCTCCTAAGAGGACGTGTAATGGGAAAGGTTGAGGTGCTTCTGACAAAGTCCAAGAGGCGCCCCCTGCTGTTCTTGGGCACGTTGGCTTCAGTTAGTCTGAGCGACAGGACTGGGTAGGAGGCTCTTTTAGACCACACGCATTTGAGGGCAGGCAAGGAAGCGAATGGACACATGACTTTGGAACCCATTCCCAGGCTGTGAAAACCATGTACGGCCTTGTAGTCTCCGGGAACCTTCTCAGACCAGCTCCGAGCCAGTTGGGGTTTTGGGGTGAGCACTTCTGGATTGCTGCTGTGACCCCCTGCATGTGCTCATGATCCCTGCAGGCCTGGCACTGGTGCCAAAGAAGCTCTGTGCCCACTATGCCTGGGACACCAGTGTGCTGCTTCAAGCCTGGCCAGTCGTGGACCCGCAGTTTCATCAACAGCCTGACGTCGTCCAGATGGCCGTTCTGGTGAGTGGCCCTGCCATCCCCAGAGCCCATGGGTCACCGTCCTGCTGGGACTCCGGCTGGGTTGGAGGGTTCTCGGGGAGCCTGAGCTCTCCGGCTCTCATCCTGCCTGCCCGTCTGTTTTACCCTCGATACACTTTCAGTTTTGAGATCACCACATCCCAAAAGCTGTGGTCATGAAACTCTCATGGCCCGAAGGGATTAGAAAATGGCAAAACTAAACCTGTGCTGGATGGCAGTTCCTAATTGTCTTCCTCTCAGGCTGAGGACTCAGTCTCAGTCTTAGTATCCTTTACTCAGCTGCTTTTGTTTCATTGGGGAGGAAGGGGAGAGCGGGAAGGTTGGCCATGCAAGGAACAGCACCTTCCTCTATAAAGTGCATTGCACAGCGGCTTGGTAGAGTCTCTTTTTGGTAAGTTTAAACATACATGAAAAAAAATTATTTTTGGATCATTTAAAAATATATGAAAGTAGTTTATTGTTTAAACACAAGTACTCGATTTTATCCTTCACGTCATTTTTGTATTTTTGATTTGTTCAGGATGAGACACTTTGTAAGAATATTTCTTGAGTGGGCTGCTGTAGCTGGAGGGAAAGCCAGGCAGGGCTGGCATTTCTGTGTCTTTGAACCACAAGTGCAACCAGGTAGTTTACATTCAAGTTTTTTTAATATTAATTTATATATGCATACAAGAGCTGGGGTGTAGGCCACAGGTGGGGTGAGAGGACCCACCAGAGACAGAGTGGGGAGCAAAAAAGGCAGACTGACACAGTACGCTGCTGAGGGGAGCAGTGGACGAGACAGGAGAGGTCTGCTGTGCCAGGTGGGTCAGCTCCCTGGCCAGAGATTGAACTCGTGCTGCAATGGCTGACAATAGCCTCATAGCGCTGTCTTTAACCCCTGTGCCACCAGGGAGACCCTACATCCAATTTTTTTTTTTTAAGTTTGTATTAGTCTTTATTAGAACAAAAAAAAAATCAAAATTCCAGACACTGAATTACATGATACATACAATAATGCACAAAATTTATAAAAGGAAAGAAAGTACATATCCACTAAACTAACATAGCAGAAATTTCAACTGCTTATTCTATACCAAATCCAATGTTTACATCCACGACGTCAGAGGTAACTTCCTTTTGTACCTTATTTAGCTCAGGAAACAGTTCTTATATCACAATATCCGATAAAACATAAGTCAGCTGCTTGTTGAGAACTGGTAAGCCAAATTTTTATTGAGCTCTTGTCACCCAATAAGGTAGTTATTCCTATTCTCATTTTTTATTCACTGGAAAGGCTCAGAGAGTTAGTCACCTTCCCCAGGGGTGGAGTTACCTACTCCACAGCAGGCACTGTGTGAGGCTCAGTAGACTCAAAATCAAACATGACAGACAGGGTTCTCCCTCAGGAGCCTGAAGTCTAGTGGGAAAGAACAAGAATCGAAAAATAGCAAAAGTGTTGCCATCTGTGAAAAGTGCCCTGAGCAAACCCAGCTAGGGCTGTGGGAAGTGTAGGCCCTGCTGCTCCAGCCCACCGCTTCTGCGCTGTGTACACCCCGACCCCACCCTGGCCCAGAGGAGGGCAGTGTTTGACCCAGGAGCCGGGCTCCTTTACCGCCCCTCCCTCCACCCTTGCTGGTGGTTCCTGCTGCCGCACTTTGGGGGGCGGGGGGGCTGCCCTAAGGGGCTTCTTCCGAAACTCCTCAAAACCCAAAAGAGCCTTGCGGCCTAGAGAGGTCATTCCTCTGTTTATAAGAGGCCATTTCTCTGTTTATAAGACATAAATAACTCGTGTAGAACTCTGAAAATTTGTCCTCAGCACAACTGAGAAATAACAACTTGAGGGACAGGAGTTTAAGTTCACAAAATGTCTTCACATTTCTCTGCAGAAAATAAATTTCATTTTGGTAATCGGTAAGATAATTTTTGCTCCTCATTGACATGAGTTCCCCAGATGACCCAAGCAGCACACCCAACTTGAGGCCCTCAGGTTGGGGCTTCCGTGGAGTTCCAGGTCCTGTCCCCGTGTGCTCTCAGTTGGTGCCACAGGCAGAAGTAGCAGCTGCGGCAGCCCCTGTTCTGTGTGCCCAGGGCGTGTGTCAGCTCTCGGGAGGCAGAGCCCAGGGGCCCACCCTGTCCTCCCGGAGGTTAACCTCCAGGAGGGACACCTGGGGGCACCTGACTTGTCACACACGGGGTTTAGCCTCGAGGTTAAGGCATGAGAGCTTGGGAGCCGGACCATCCTCAGTGTCTCAGCTGCATAAAATACTTGCATTTCCTCAGTCAGAAAATAGAGGTGGACATAGTGCCCACTTGTGAAGGTGGCGGTGTGACGCCTGAGTGCTCAGCTGCCCCCGGTATACTGCTGTCCCAACCAGACTTCTGTCCACTGAATTGCCAAGAGGGGAGTCTGAGATACACCACACACATACACACACCCCCACCCCGAGCGGACTGCCTTGGATGAGGTCACTCAGGGAGTCCCAGGAAGCCAGAAACCATGAGGGGGAGGGCAGGGTGGCATGGGAAAGCTTCTGGGCACCGGGCACATCCAGCGGTCACATGCCCCACTCCCCATGCCCCAGTTGTGGACCAGAATGACTGGGGCCACGCATTGAAGAGGACACCCTATGGCTGGCTCCTTGCATGGTGGCTGGGAGCCCTGACCCCAGAGGGCAAGCGGGTCGCTCTACACAGGTTATCTCACTTCCCTCCATCAAGAACCCACAGATTCTTTCCTTAAAGGAGAGAAAACTGAGAGCCAGGCCCAGACTTTTTGAGTCCAGCCCTGAAAATCTGATCTGTGTCAGTCTTTCACGACAGGAGGTGCTCTCCCCCAGCACCCCTGTCCAGGCTGGTGCTAGAGGAGACTTTACCCCAGGAGGCGGAGAGGGAGGATAGAGACAGGCTGGTGCTGTGGCTCATTAACTAGTCTGTGTTCTGAGAATCCCACTGGGGGCCCAGTACTTCAAGGGCTCAGCTTTTCTGTGACAGGGTGGGAGGCCTCCTCTGAGGTCCGAGTCGTGCCAAGCACGTGCTTTCAAGTAGACAGCCTCTCACGGCGGCCGCCCTTCAGGCTGCACGCCCACAGTCCGGGGCGCTGAAGCCGTCGGGAGCCTCAGCACTTTTTAAAGGCAACACAATTTCAGAATATTTCAGGAATGACATTTGATCTTATTTCTCTGCCACCCTATGGTCAAGCTAAAACAACCATTATAAAGGCCAGTGAGTTCTACGTCAACTTAGGGAGGGGAGAGGTGGACAAATAAGGGCCCATGTTGTGTTTTAGCTGGAACTGGAGAAGTGACTCCTAGTGTCTTCATATAACCATTTCCAGGTCACTTTTTCCCAGTAAAAAACAGGGTGTCAGCGAGAGACAAGTGAGTGTTCTTATGGAAGCAACAGGGTAGTGGGTTTGTAGTTCTGGGTCGCTTTCCTCGGTGGTGATTTCAGTCCATATTTGATGTGAGGTTTGCCCTAAGTGAACCCCATTCGTGTAATACCCACCGGCATCTAGAACAGAGTTAGACCATTTTTATGCAAGAGGAGCTGTAAATGTGACCTGGGGTCTGTTTCTGGGCATCACACTTGCGCGCCCCCTTCTGGGACCAGTCATTAGACAGGTGAAATTCTCCCTGACACCCCTGTAGCCAGGTCTGGGTCTGAACTTGGGCTTGATCCCCAGTGGCCCAGAGATTCCTCTTCCTCTGGAATCAGCCTGAGCCCTTTCCTCTTGGGGGGTTTGACATAATTTCCACCCACCGGTGATAGGGAAGCTCTGGGTACGATCCTCAAGTGCGCCCCAGTGCTGGGGGCTCTCCTGTCTCTCTTTCCTTGCCCACTCCTCCCCCAGGTGCTTGGGCGCGCACCCCGGACATCTGCTTGTACATAGTCCTCCTGGGAGGCTGGGTGCTGCCTTTCCTCCCTCCTTGGCCCCAAACAGATGCAGCATTTAGTTCGGCTGCCTGCCTCCCTCAGGCCTTTCCTCATTGCGTGTCCCACCTTCTCTCCTTCTCAGATCAACAACAAAGCTTGTGGCCAAATCCCAGTGCCCCAGCAAATCGCCCAGGACCAGAACAAAGTGCACGAACTTGTTCTCCAAAGCGAGCTAGGCGTAAGGCTCTTGCAGGGCCGGAGCATCAAGAAGGCCTTCCTCTCCCCCAGAACTGCGCTCATCAACTTCCTGGTGCAGGAGTGACTGCAGGGAGGCTGAGGCCACCGCTGAGGCCTCCTCCCAGCCCCAGGATGAGGGGAAGAAGCTGCTGGCCTGGGGGAAGGGACAGACAAGAATCTTAAATATCCACCTTAATTGCCATGACAGCCTGGTGCCACTGGTGTGCTCGGCGTGTGGCATGTGTAGGGTGAGGGTGGGGGCGGGCATGGAGAAACAGGAACAAAGGGGAAGGATGGCAAAAGCCCTCTGACCCCATGTGAAGCCATCTGCCGGGTGGAGCAGAACGGAGAAAAGACAAGCGCAGGAGAGTGACACATGCCTCCCCAGCAGCCTGGGAGCTTCGGAACCCCGCAGATGCATCACCCTGGGCACACCCCAGGAATGTGAGGCTCAGCTGAGGTGCCATGTATGACTCCTGCCGTGTGGTAAACCACTGTTGAACAAGGCAAGATGCGTGAGCCCCCCTGTTCCAGAGGACTCAGAAGGAGTGGACACTGGGGGCTCCCGAAGTTGCTCTGAACCAAAAGGCAAGCTGTGCTAGTCCCGCCAGTGCCCCCACCCCCTTCACCACACTGCCGCACCGGACCCGGCTCCCATCTGATGACCCGCTGCTCCTCGGGGTGTGACACTTGCCGGTGGAGAAGGGACCGGGTTGGTCCAATCTCGGATGACCCACTCTCAGCAGCCCAACAAGGGGGTCTGTTCGTGTGGGCCCCACATGGTGACGTCACCTAGAAGCAGCCCCCAGTTCACCTCAGAGGAGTGGCCTGTTGCCACTGCGGCCAGGAGGGGACCCGTGTTTCTGGGGGCAGCCCTAGTTTTTATAGGAAATCAGCAAGCAAGTGCTCTTACCAGAACTGGCCTGCGTCGCTGATTAACATTTAGTGGAGGAAGAATCCAGCCACTTTGTGATGTTCGAAATCTTATTTGTTCTCTGATGCCATTTTTTATGTAGCCTCAGATGCGGTCCCCTGCAGTTTATCACTTGACAGATGACCTTTTTTTTTTTTATGAATAAAATATCGATCATGTATGACTTTGGGGTGTTTGTATGATTTGAGAATAGCTACCATATTCCAATTCTAGGAGCTAACCAGGAGCAGACGGAGGTATTCCATCATCGCCAGAAGGCTGGCTCTGTGCCCTGCTCCACATGGAATGCTATAAAGAGAAGCCTTGGAACTGGCAAACGTGGTACCCAACACTGATTCAGGCACATTAGCAGCAGCAGTTAAGTCACTGGTTCTGAAACTTGGCCCAAACTTAATACCACGTCTGCTCCCCAGATTTCCACAAAACTGTACATTTGATGTTCTGGTGCCCAGAAATTGATGTAATTGTGCTGAGGTGCAGTTGGGCACCAGAAGTTGTAAAAGCAACACAGATGATTCTAACAGGCAACAAAGTTTTTGAACCATATGTCACAAAGCATTTGAACCTTAATGTCTTATTAATCCTTCCTCGCCCTCTCTTCGCTGGATAGAGTTCGGCCCAAGACCAAAATGTGATGAAGTGGACTGGAAAGGAGGCAGCTGGGAGGTAAGGCAGAGGCCAGAACTCTTGAGCAGGTATTTAAAGTCTTCTCAGAGCGGACCTGAGTGTACACAATCCCATTGCATTTACCAACAAATGTAGATTAAATATAAGCAAATGATGGGAACATTGAGTACATGGAGGGAAGAGTGTTTTTGCTTGGCTGCTTTGTTTATTTCTAAGGTAAGCTAAGTGGTCTTGACCCAGTCGATAAGGCGATGATAGAGAATCTTTATTTGCACATAACTGGCCGGAGCTACACGTCAGCAAAGACTAAAGGCTACTGGACTGAGCACATGGCTTAGGAAAACAGCTGATAAAACTTGTGAAAACAAGAGCTCGCTGGTACTACTGACAGCGAGCCTGCTACTGGAACCACTGACCGGAAGACCTGATCCCCGGCATGGGGAGGTGGGCTAGGGGCTTTACTACCTGCCTCCATGAGGCCCAAAGCCGGACTTAACAAGCTCACTTACTTACGTCATGTCATTTAATCCCCACAAAAATCCTGGAGTGAAGGAATTATTCTCATAAATATGAAGAAACCCAGGATCTGATTCAATATTTGCTCAGTTTCCATGGCACAAAGCTCCATGAAGGAGCTGCTAGCCTCCATCCCGACGCCATCCCTCATGTCTACCAGTCCCTTCACCTCAACCCATTTGCTTGCTGCACAGTCAGGAAAGGAAATGTTGACGGAAAAGTCAGCACTTCCAGTTGTCTGGCTTGGGCTCCCCGCCCCCGAAGACCTTGGGCTGTAAAACCAGGAAGTCACAGCAGGGTCTGTGCAGGGACAGGTGGGGCCGGCAGGCCCAGGCTGCCATGCTGTTCTGTAAGACTGGGGGGTGAAGGTTGTTGCCAAACCAGTGGGAGCCCCAGGCTGTGAACTGTGTCAGGGTCATTCTGTGGGGAGATGAGCGATGTGAGTTTGCACATAGCCAGTGGTGCCCGGAAACCCCCTGGCAAATGCGGCCTCAGCAGGTGCCAATCAGCCGCCAAGGAAATAAAACTGACCTCTAAAACCGCAAAGCTATCAGTGACCTGGAAACCACATAGGCCTGCTTCATCCCAACCTACATACACACTTCCAGGGAGCCAGTGAAGGACAAGGGGGTACAGTCACGAAGATGAGACAGCCTCAAAAGACGGTTTTATTTTTTTTAATACTTATTCATACAAAACTGGGGTACAGGCCAGAGGTGCAGGGGCATTGACAGGATTCACCAGACAGAGTGGGGAGCAGAACAGGCAGAGCGACAAAATACACTGCTGAGGGGAGCAGCAAGCGAGATGAGAGGTCCACTGTGCCATGTGGGTCACCCCCAGAACTCGTGCTGCAGTGGCTGAGGCTAGCTACTTTGTAGTGCTCTGCTTTAACCTGTTGTGCCACCAGGGAGGGCCAAAGAGATGGTTTTTAAGAAAGAGATAAAATGGATATTTTCTCAGGACTAAGGTAGCATACTTATACAACATGAGCCCAACCACAATGTTTTCAATTCCAACCCTTAAACAAAGCTACTGTTGCCTTTGTTCAGCATGAGGGGGTGGGGGAGCTCCCTCTTGTCTCTCTGCTCTAGCATCTCACAGTCCAGGAACAGAAGAGCAGGAGGCACCATTCTCCTAACCCAGACACAAAAGCCCTGAATCTGTCTGTCTTTGGCTGTGAGCAATTGGTAGGGAGTATAGGTAATAGCTGCCTGGCCATTTGGGGTTGAAAGAACTCCCAGTGGCTTAGGGGAAGTTTCCAAAGAACAGCTCTGCCGGGCCTTCAGCATACAATATGCACAGCAGCTGGGGACTGGCAGGCCACCCTGCCAGGAGGATGTGGGAGGAGCCCCTGGGCGACCACCCCAAGGACAGGAGATGATGCCCAAGCCTGAGAGGCAGTCTGAGGAAAGGCTCTGAACAGAAGCCAGAGACCCAAGAGAAGTGGGGGATGGAGCTGAGGGAGCCGCACCCCTCTGCCTGCCTTTGTGTCCCTGGGCTGCAGCTGGGGTGGCACTTCCGGATCGCAAGCAGTGAGGAGACCGCACTGAGGCCACCAGCAATCCCTTCTGGCCCAGAGAGGCCATGACTTGCTGGAAACCACCGCAGTAAGTGAGGGGTGCTCTCCCCTTTCTCCCTGGAGAAGAACAAGAACATCTGCTCGTTGCTGACGATGGGAATCGCAGAGGGCTGGCTCCCTCTCCGTGCTGAGTGGGCGGCTAAAGGCTGTCATCCAAACCGATGCGTTTGGACATTGGAATCTGGGGTGACCGGCGATGAAAAAGTGGGGAACCTCTCCCAGGGAGGGTGAGTGGGTGGGTGGGGACAGTACTGGCAGGGGTGAAGAGCCAGGAGCAGACCAGAAAAAGGCCAGTCCTGTGGGCAGAGGCCTCAGGACCTAGAGAAGGGCCAACGATTGTCCAGAAGGACTGACCTCACTCCAGGCCTCCATCCCATCTGCCCACATACGGGAGGGGCGCAGGGATGATAATGAGGCCCTGAGGGAGAGGCGGTGGCCCGGCCTGCTAGAGTCTAGGTCCTGGAACCCGGAGCCCATGACTCACCTCCTGAGCCCCAAGCCCTGCAGCTGAACTCCCATTCTTGTTTGGCTTCTGGAAGGGCATGCGTGTCCCAGACCTGGAGTGCGTAGTATCCCTGCTCTGTGATTCTCACCACCAGCAACAACAATCATGTCTAGTATTTATAGGACTAGTGATGTGTCAGGCCCTGCTCCTAGTGCTTTGCCACCTGGGAACTGGAGCTGATCACATACAAGATGACAGCTGCAGCCTGCCCTGCTCCCTGTATTGCTTCCCAGCCTGGTATCGCCTGGATTTTGCAAGACAGTCTGATTTCTAGATTTCTCCCCAGTAGTAGCCTGAGTACCCTAGAATCTGCCAACTTCACACTTCTTGGCCTGTGGCTGGGAAGGCCCGCTTGCTCGTGTGCCCACCTGGCTAGGCACTCCTGGTGTTCTGAGGAACCCAGTTCAGACACCACCATATGTCTGAGCCTGGCACTGGCCGCGCCCAGCCATCACGTTTGGTGAACAAACAGCCTCCTTTGGGCCCTAGCAGTGAACCTAAATCTACCTCAGGAAGTCAGCTGGTTCAGTGCTGTACTGCTAAGGCGGGGGTGTGGGGGACCTACCCTTGGTCTGCAGTCACCTCGCACCAGGGTCTTTCCCAAGATCCTTTCCAAGTACAGAGGGAATAACTTGATGTGCAGTTACGGGGGGGTGGGGGATGGGATACCCGCCCCCAGCCCCACCCAAAGGAGCGCTCACCAGCCACCCTGGAGCCAGGAGAAGGGGATCTGGAGCGGGATTCCCCTCCTCAGACACTGCGAGGGGGCGGTGGAGAGAGTGTAATGGGCCTTGTGGGCAGGGTCACCCCAAGAGCCATGTTACTCTCGGGGCCTGGCGTGTTACTCACAGGGAAAAGGTCTGTCCCCATACGAGACTCAGTGGGCCAGAGGGGCATTCACTATAGTGTGCCTGCACAGCACAGCAACCCGCAGACAGACTTCGGGAGAGCTGAGAAGACAGACCAAAGCCTGGTGTCACCGGGTATCTCCATTCTAGTATCAGTAACTTCCAGCTGTCAGCTAACTTCTGACTTTGCAGGAAACAGCTTAGTTTCCTATTAGTATTTTAATTAACTGCTATTACGGACCAGGTATTTTTGTCATTTCCTGCTCCTCCCTTAACTTCATTGCTTGAACCCCTACTACCCCTTAATGTAATGATACTAGGAGGTGGTGCTTTGGGAGGTCTTAAGGTTAGATGAGCTCATGAGGGTAGAGCCCCGTGGATGGCATTCGTGCCCCACTAAGAGTCACAAGAGAGCTGCATTCTCTCTTCTCGGCCACATGAGGACACAGCAGAGGTCAGCAGGCTGCAACCAGAATTGCTCAGCAAACCTCAGGAGCTCACTGCCTGGTCCCCCTGGTCTCAGACTTCATCCTGCAGAACTGTGAGAAATAAATTTCTGTTGTTTCTAAGCCTTTGATCCTTGGTATGGCAACCCGAACCAAGCCAACTATTAACATCTTAGTCATCAGCAAATACCTCAGGGGTTGTGATGTAGAGGACCTGTAGGTCGTCAGTCGCTCAGGTGGAAGCTGACAATAAGGTGTCAGTCATTCCAGGCAGCACTTCACTTGTGTCCTAATACCAGTGTCTACTAATGCCTGTGGAGCAATTATCTTTGGTAATAAAAAAGATTATAGGCTAACATAGTGTAATTATATACATAAACCCTTACACTTCAGTGAGACACAGCAAATGTTATTTCTCATTCCCATAATGGAATCCTCTGGAGAAAGGAGCAGAATTCCATTCTGTTCCAGCCTAATGGAGAGACCCAGGTTGATGGCGCCTCTGCCATCTTTAACCCTTGACTTTCAAGGTGGCCCAGGACATAGACATCCAGACCGTGGAGAAGGAGAGTGAGAGATGGCGCTTGGCTGGAGATTTCTGCAGGCCAGGTATGGAAGGAG